AAAAAAAAAGAGGAGGATTTCCAGGTGTCAAACACTATCTTTCCAGAGAGAACTGAAATCTCTTCACATTATACCAATGTATTGGTGTAAAATGTAAGACTAGTGTGAATATTTATGCTTGCTTACTGCCATATTGCTGATAAATGGGGGGAAAAAAAATCACCAACAAACATTTAAGATCCCTTTGGCTCTCACCAATATAAAAATATGTGATGCTTTGCCCCATATTTTGTTTATTTTTATGGAAATAGGTTTGGCATATGGATATGCATAATTCAAATGAGCTTTATTCAAAACAGGACAGTAACCTATCATTCAGGAGCCTCAGTCCCCTGAATGTGTATGTTGTGTGTGTGTGTGTGTGTGTGAGAATCATTCTTTTGTGGGACATTAGAAATATAAACCTTATTAATCTAATATTTCTAGTAAAGCCATTACTGGTACTTATAGAACTTAATGGCCCCGTGCTCAAGGCAATGATCTGTATATGATTTTGTATTTCCTGTAAGTGTAGGCTGTGGTTGGTCTTAGAAAGACGTGAGCATCTTGAACTTGGTATTTTTCCACTGGGATAAGGATAATGGAAAAATGTCCTGCCTTGGGGAAATTCTATTTAAGAAATGGGAAGCAATCAATGATAATTTTCAGGGGGCTTTTGAACCTGTCTCCCCACCAAAAAAAGGACACACAAAAAGCTGTTAGACCCAAGCCAAAAGAAAAGATCAGTTCTGACTTGCTTTTCCTATAATCAGAAGGGGGGTAAGAAATATGCTTTGTAACAATCTCTTAGGCTATGTCTATACTCGCGGCTTCTTGCGCAAGAAAATCTTGCACAAGGGCTCTTGTGCAAGAAGTCTTGTGCAAGAAAACGTCCACACTGCCATGTGCGCGCTTTGTTTTTGTGCAAGAGCTCCCATGGCAGAGTGGACGCTCTCTTCCACAAGAAAGCTCCAACGGCCCTTTTAGCCATAGGGCTTTCTTGCGCAAGAAATCCCTGCTGAGTGTCCCTCTTGTGCAAGAGCTCCTGCGCAAGAGGGCTTACACCTGTTAAAAAAAGAAGAGCATACTCTTGCGCAAGAAGCCCTCTCTTACCACGCCGTACTGTACGTTTCCTTGCACAAGAGCAGGCAGGCAGTGTAGACGCTCTGCGGATTCTTGCGCAAGAACAGCCATACTTGCGCAAGAAGCCGCGAGTGTAGACATAGCCTTAGTGTATTAGGCTTAGCTGGCATTTTTTGTTTATTTTAGATTAGTAACTTGCTTTGATTAGTGTGCCATCACATGCAATCACTTGAATACAACTCCTATTAAGTACTTTCGTTTATCATCAAACCCAGTGTAAAATTGTTACTGCATGGGTTGGGAAGAAATAACTGTACATCTCTCTCTTTCAGTGATAAAGGGGCAAACTTTACTAACCCCTCCCCCCCATAAAACTTTTATACAGAGGAAGGCATTTATTTGGTGATTTGGTCCTGTTTGGGGCTGTGCTCCTGAGTGTTGACAAGTCCCTGTAGAAGAGCCCTCCCACAGCTGAGCTGTTAACATCTGTGTTACTCTGCTGGGTGGGCTATTACCCAAACTCTGTGCCTTTGCTAGGGGAGCCCAGAGCATCTGCCCCAGAGCGACTGGTTGGTGGGGCACCCCAAAGGATGAGTAGGCTGGCTCAGTGGTATAATCAGCACACCAGGTTACAGTCACAAAGGGAACTGTGATCCAACTCATCACAATACCCATTAAGCCTTTTATTTTTTACATACACAATATACTGAATAAACAGTCTCCTAATAATACAACTTGTAAAGAACAAGAAAAAACAAATACAACCAGGCACTTTTGCACAGAAACAAGATATTGCTTAAGAACCCAGCTGCTTTTGCTTCTTATTTCCCAGTTGTAAGCTTGTGTTGTTCATTTCCACAGGATAGGAATGTAACCAAAAGGTGAGATTTTATTTTGATGAAAATATTAGTGTTTAAAAAAATAAATAAATAAAATTTAAAAAAAACCACACCCCCACAGTACAAAAGATTTGTGGCTATCATTTTTAAGTTTGCCTACCATGAATGAACTAAGTTACCAATAAGAGACAGACCTGTGTGATGTTATCTGATTAAGATAGGCACATGACCAAAAAGGGTTAACCAGCACATAGGTTAAATGACCCACGGTTGACCTCTGAAGACTTATTCGGAAGATATGTAATAGCCTAACTATCATTTACATAAGGTTAAAGAAGAACTTTGAAATGCATGGTTAGAGCATCAAAATAGTAGGTGTTTACTCAGGTCTTGTGATGTGAACAAATAATTGTCTTTATAGCTGTTATTCAAGATTAAAACGGGAACACTTAGAATGAAACTTGGTTGAAGTAGTATTATTGTCTCTCTGAAGATTGTGGTTAACTGTGTATAACTTGTCTTAAACATTTTATTCTATTCTAATTGCCATCATGTTTGGGAGTATGATGGGGCAGATAAGCCTTGCACTTCTGCAGACAAGCTGCTGCTTTGTCTTTATAGCTGTTATTCAAGATTAAAACGGGAACACTTAGAATGAAACTTGGTTGAAGTAGTATTATTGTCTCTCTGAAGATTGTGGTTAACTGTGTATAACTTGTCTTAAACATTTTATTCTATTCTAATTGCCATCATGTTTGGGAGTATGATGGGGCAGATAAGCCTTGCACTTCTGCAGACAAGCTGCTGCTGGTGGAAGTATGGACATGCCAGCCACGGCTGGGAGACGCCAGCGC